ATCTGGCAAAGATGCTACCAAAAAAGAAAATTACAGGCCAATATCACTGACAAACACAGATGCAAAAATCCTCAACAAAATATTAGCAAACAGAATCCAACAACACATAAAGAAGATCATAAACCATGATGAAGGTGATTTCATCACAGGGACACAAGGATGGTTCAAAATACTCAAATCAATCAATGTGATATACCACATCAACAAAAGACAGGACAAAAATCACAAGATCATCTCAACAGATGCAGAAAAAGTATCTGATAAAATTCAAAACCCATTTATGATTAAAAAAAACTCTTACCAAAGTGAGTATAGAGGGAACATATCTCAACATAATAAAAGCTATTATGACAAACTTACAGCCAACATTAAGACTCAACATTGAAGAGCTGAAAGCCTTCTCACTAAAATCTGGAACAAGACAAGGATGCCCACTCCCACCACTTCTATTCAGCATAGTATTGGAAGTCCTAGTCACAGCAATCAGGCAAGAAAAAGAAATACAAAGGATCCAAATTGGAAGAGAAGAAGTAAACTTGTAACTATATGCAGATGACACAATACTATATATAGAAAACCCTAAAAGCACCACACAAAAACTATTAGAACTGATAAAAGAATTTGGCAAGGTAGCAGGATACAAGACTAATATACAGAAATCAGTTGCATTTCTTCACACTAACAAAATATCAGAAAAAGAGAGTAAAGAAACATTTAAAACTGCACCCAAAACAATAAAATACTTAGGAATAATCTGATCAACTTGATGAAAGACTTACACACGGAGAATTACAAAACATTGATTAAGGAAATTAAAGAAGACTTAAAGAAATGGAAAGATATCCCAAGCTCTTGGACTAGAAAGATCAATATTGTTAAAATGGCCATACTACCCAAGGCAATCTACATTTGTAATGTGATCCCTATCAAATTACCCAGAAAAGCTTTTCCTAAAATTTATATGGAATCATATAATTGACCTAGAATTGTCAAAGCAAAACTGAAGGGGAAAAAAAAAGCTGGAGGAATAATCCTCCCAGACTTCAGACATACTACAGGGCTACAGTAATCAAAACAGCCTGGTAATTGGCACAAAAACAGACATATGGATGAATGGAACAGAATAGAGAGTCCAGAAATAAATGCATCAATCTATGGTCAATAATCTTTGACAAAAGAGGCAAGAATATACAATGGAGAACAGACAGTCTCTTCAGAAAATGATGCTGGGAAAACTGGACAGCAGCATATAAATCAGTGAAGTTAGAACACTCCCTCACACCATACACAAAGAAACTCAAAATGGCTTAAAGACTTAAATATAAGACAGGACACAATAAACCTTCGAAAGAAAACATAGGCAAAACATTCTCTGAAAAATTTTAGCAATGTTCTCCTAAGGTAGCCTACCCAGGCAATAGAAATAAAAGGAAAAATAAACAAATGAGACCTAATTAAACTTACAAGCTTTTGCACAGAAAAGGAAACCATAAGTAAAACAAAAAGACAATCTGTGGAATGGGAGAAAATATTTGCAAATGATGTGACTGACAAAGGCTTAATTTCCAGAATATATAAACAGCTCATACAACTTAATAACAAAAAACCTAATCCAAAAATGGGCAGAAGACCTAAACAAGCAATTCTCCAAAAAAGACATACAAATGGCCTATAGGCACATGAAAAAATGCTAATATTGTTAATTATCAGAGAAATTCAGATCAAAACTACAATGAGATATCACTTCACACCTGTCAGAATGGCCATCATTCAAAAGTCCACAAATGATGAGTGCTGGACAGGGTGTGGAGAAAAGGAAACTCTCCTACACTGTTGGTGGGAATGTAGTTTGGTGCAATCACTATGGAAAATAGTATGGAGATTCCTCAAAAACTAAAAATAGACTTACCATATGATCCAGCAATCCCACTCTTGGGCATATATCCAGAGGAAACTCTAATTCGAAAAGATACATGCACCCCAATGTTCACAGCAGAACTATGTACAATAGCCAAGACACAGAAGCATCCTAAATGTCCATCAACAGATGACTGGATAAAGAAGCTGAGGTATATTTATACAGTAGAATACTACTCAGCCATAAAAAAGAATAAATTAATGCCATTTATAGCATTAATTTATTAATGGATGGACCTTGAGGTCTTCATTCTAAGTGAAGCCAGAAAGAGATGGACCAGTGGACTAAGTGAAGTAAGCCAGAAAGAGAAAGAAAAATACCATATGATATCACTCACATATGAAATCTAAAAAAAGGAAAAAGACACTAATGAACTCATCTACAAAACAGAAACAGATTAACAGACATAGTAAACAATTTTATGGTTACCAGGGGAAATGGGGTAGGAAGGAATAAATTTGGGAGTTTGATATTTGAAAATATTAACTACTATATATACAAGTAAATAAAAAACAAATTTCTTCTGTATAGTACAGGGAAGTGTATTCAGTATCTTGTAATAACCTTTAATGAAAAAGAATATGAATATGAATATATGTATATATATACATGACTGGGACAAACGTGCTGTCCACCAGAAATGGACACATTGTAACTGACTATGTTTCAATTTAAAAAGAAAAGAAATACGTAATTTTGGGCCCTACCCCAGATCCAGTGAATCAGAATCTGCATTTTAGGAGGAGTCACCTGGGAGTCATGCATGTTCATTTTTGAAAAGCACTGCTATAGGTCAGTAGTTTTCAATCTTGGATGCACATTTGAATCATGGGGATTTATAAAATACAGGTATCCAGGTGTTTCCCCTACTAACCTCCAGAGGATCTGATTTGATAGGTCTGTGGTAAGGCCCAGGAATCAGTATATTTAAAAGATTCCAGATGAACCTACCATATTGCCAGGGTTTAGAACCACTGGGCTAGAAGAAAGACGTTAGGGATGCTCTGTCATAAAGGGAGCTAGGATTTGGAAGAGGTCATTTTACTTGCTGTCTCCTATGCCTCGAACACATCTTTCTCCATCTTCACCCATGTAGTTCCTGGAGATTCAGGTCAAGTGCTCAAGTGTTACTTCCTTGGAGAAGACCCTGATGACTCTGAAATTACTGCCCCCACCAATCACTACTGTATTTCCTCTGTTTGTTATCTTAACACTCATGCACGTGTGTGCTATCTTATTATGTTATTTATTTATGTATTGTTTCTCTCTCTCCAGAGAAGGGATCTTAATCACCTCTGGTCACAGTGCTTCCAAAAGTGTCTTGTACATAGTGAAAAACTAATAAATGTTTGTTTACTACTAGGGGGAGGGTATAGCTCAAGTGGTAGAGCACATGCCTAGCATGCACAAGGTCCTGGGTTCAATCCCCAGCACCTCCTCCAAAAAATAAATAAGTAAACCTATTACCTACACCCTCTCCAAAAGTAAACAAAAAGTAAATTTCTAAAAAAAAGTTTGTTTACTACTATCTTTGTGAAAGAAGAGCAAAAAATATTTTGGAGCAGATCGGGGAGCCATAAGGAGAGGACTGAGAGGAGGAGAAGAGGGAGAGAAAAAGATAGAGAAATAGATTTTGGCCAAATAGGAAATGTCTGAATGTGAGAAAATGATATGTGTTATGAAATGGAGAACCACACAGATATGTGAGAAAGAGAATAGTAGAAAAACAATGGCTAAAGAGAGAAAAATGTCTTGTGATTGGAAAGGCAGAAACTGATGTCAAGGAGATGACAGTTATGATACTTGCATGAGGTAATTCATTTTTGATCCAGGAAAGTTATTGGAGTGGAGGGTTGGAGGGGAAGAAAAAAGACACAAAACATTTTTAAAAGAAATAACACAATTGGGTTACTGACCAGACAAAGATGATACTCATCTCTAGGGTGGATTAAAAGTGTTTACCACTTCTTTGCAGCCCCTCCCATTAACAGGTGGAGTCTATTCCCCCAGCAATCCCTCTTTGAATCTGGGGTTGCCTTTATGATAAAGTCTGACCATCAGAATACTTCAGAGGGACACTGAGCCTTAGCTTCAAAGAGTTTTGCGGTTTCTGCTTCCACACTTTTAGAATCCTGCTGCCTTGTGAGAAAATCCCAGACTAGCCTTCTTGAGGAAAAGAGGCAACATGAGCAAGGAAAGGCAGGTCTAACCATTCTAGCTGAGGTTCTACCACATGAATAAGGCCATCTAGGAACCTCCCCATCCCCAGCATAATAACAAGAGGACTATTCAAGGGGACCAAGTTGTCAACCTACAGAATTGCTGTATATTATCAACAACTATTAAATTTTGGAGTAGCAGCAATAGATAACTGACACGCTTTCCCAAGTTTTGCATGTGTGATTCAGCAGGTGAATTCAGATTAGAGACTTTCAAGTTGGAATCCATAGGTTAAAAATAGGTACTAATAATAATTCTTAATTTTATTAAAAATCATGAATACAAAGGCTCCTTTCCCACTGAATCAAGTTCATCACTCTTTTAAAAGTTCCATTCAACTTCTAGTGAAGATGTATATTGGGCAGATGTTTCCAAGATGTAAACAAGCAATGTGCTCTTTTTTCACTTTCAAGATTTTGAAAGATACTTGATAATATAACATCTTGCTAAGCTTTTTAGGGTAGTATGTTCTTCAGAAACCCTTTGCTAGCTAGCCTTTTCTCTAATTTATTTATAATTTATAACATACCCATTTCCAAGAGGAGCTGAGTCAGCTCATCGATAATGGTATGGCTAGAGGCTCCTTACTGACGGTTCCAGAGAGAATTTTTCTCAGTTTTCTCTTCATACAAGCATAAATCAGGGACTGGAGTGCAGAACTGGATCTGGTTTACTGTAATATACTACAGAGTAAATTGGTGAGCTAGAATGCCAAGAGGCATGATGAATACTGATTTTTCTCTCATTTATTCTACCCTCTGCCCATCTGTTTTGGTTCCTCATCTTCAGTTGTTGAAATGAAAATGTACTTAATTGCTCTTTCAAGGACTCATAATTCCATTTTATGTCTCTGTGTCCATAGGTCTATTACCATCCCATGTCTTACAGTCTCCGTATTTGCTTTTGGGGGAATAAAGTACAGGCACATTTCCATCAGTGAAAGGTAAGTTTTATAGTATGCTCCAAGTAATATACTAACATCTGTCCAAATAGGTCAGAAAGACTTATGAATATGACAGCCATGGGATTTTTTTCAAAGCTTCTGTATGAGTTTAGTTCATGCAGTTCTAAGATAAATACATAGGGAAATGTGCCCTTTACATAATGGTTTGCTGTTTTATTCTGACACAAAATATTTTACTTATACCTCAAGCTACTTTTATTTGTCCTCAAAAAGTCTGAAATGTCTGGCACCAAACACTGGAAATGGGATGCAAATTAAAAACACATTTAATTCACTATGATAGGAAGATGTGAGAGTGTATAGAGACATGAGATATTCACATTATACAAACAATTGTTCTTTGATAAGGGTGCAGTAACTGCTCAGTGAAAATTAACACCTGTCTTATAATTAAGACCCCCAAGGAACCTCTCCAAATTATTCTCCTTTTCAGCAATAGAGATATGGTTATAAAATGAGATTCTGCCTGAAATGCACAGGAGCAAAAGCCAATATTTCAAGACTATGATTATATTTTACATGACTAAATGTTTCTGAGGCTTCGCCTATGAAAGTGTCGGGATAAATTTGTGTCTAATATTAACAAATGCAGTACTAAATTCAGATTGTTATAGCTGGGCACATGTGAGGGGCAAATCATGCAGATGATATTACAGATCTTTCTGTTAGCAATTAGTACAAAATATTACATTTCTACCAGAGTCCCCCATGCATAATAACTATGGGCTTACTGTCACAAAAAATTCATATGCTGCATCCAAACCAAAGAAGCTAAAGCTGAAATGAGTGCATTGCGTATTTTTGAAAAGGCCAAACCTTTTAATCAGTTTTAGGTAAAGATACAAAAATTGTTTGCTCTAATCAAATAGGGATTAAAAAGGGTAAATGCACATTTCTAACAAAAGATAAAATGTATGTGTTTTATATATATATAAAGATATATATTTTAGATATTTATTTTTAGATATTTTAGATATTTATTGATTTTAGATAATTTTTCTATTAAAGTAATATATTTATTTCAATAGAAAAATTATCTAAAGAAATATATTACTTTCAATTGAAAAATTATCTAAAATCAGAGTGACAATTGCTGTTCTACAACGTTGTTAGCCTGGACCTGTGCCCAGAAGGTTGACAACAAGAAACTCAAAGCATCCTTCACTAACAAAACATGTGAAGAAGGTGCAAACAGGGTGAACAGAAGTTACTTTTATAGCTGCTCTGATGCCTACATTTGAACAACATGCCCTGATTTAGAGTTGTAGAAAACTATAGTGGACATACTGGTGTTTGAATAGTAACTAGCATTGGGGGACGAAATGGGGACAGAGAGAGGAGGGCATTTAAGGGCTAGGATGGTGGGTGATCACATGTCCAACAAACAAAGTTTAGCTCATTAAATAGCAAATGGATGTCAACTGATGCTTTTTCATCATCTTTTATTATAGGAAGTCCCATTTTCTTTACAGTGATCAACCACATCCCACTATTTTGCTCCTGCTCTCATATATAGGAAACAGTAATTGGCATTATAATCATCTTTGATTATAAGAGTACTGCAGTATTCTTGTGATAATACATAAGTGACTCTGCATTACTGTGATAAGATCCTTGGTGACAACTGGATGTTAAAAACAATAATCTGGACTGTGTCTCTGCAGGTCAATAACAAGGTAGGATAAAACTTCAAACCTCAGGTTTCACCAAGTGGTTGGAAAATGTGTATTTGAGAGAGTTAGTGTGTTACCACATTTAGCTAGGCTTACCTTAGGTTACAGGTAAAAAACACAATTCATGACTGCTTTTGTAACATTAACAAGCAAAGCATCATCTTAAATATTATATTTAGATAAATTGTGACTATAAATAATAAAGTTGATATATTCCTATATTTCATGTGCATTGAATAAAAATAGAAAGCATCAACTTGATATTAATAAAATGATATTTCAGGCACTCTTTATGGAATGACATCTTGCCAACAGCTACTAATTTTAACTTCTGTTCTTTAGGAGAGTAATATATTTTACTATGCCACTCATAATCTATTTTAAACATCACACGGGTTGTTCTGTGTTAACTACTAGTCTGTAGAAAATGGGGCATGAACAAATCCAGGTTTTGTGTTTTCTAATACAAAACTTTACTATTAAATAAATAATGGTTTTCTTGCTCAGTTTCAAATTTCAGAAGGGCAGGTGGTTGTTCTCATTTTATAAAATAACATGTAAAATATAAATGAGAATCGAAAGAGAAGGCTGGATTTGTATTACCCTAATTTACTAAGAAGAAGTCCTGATTTGGGAAGTCCAATAAAATCTCTATTCCGAACTCACCGACATGTGAAAACAAAGAACACGCTGCAGAGCTATCCCCAGTTATTTCTATTAGGAAAAAAGAAAAAGGCCTTGGGTACCCAGCTAATGTGTCTTTCACCCACACAGAAGACAGGACTCTACTTGACATCTCTGATGAATAAATAACCTATCATAACTACCATATTGTTTTAAATCTTAGAGGAAATAGTCTCAATGGTTAGGACAGAAGAAAAGTATGTATTTATTGACATTATATGTATTTAAAAATTTTAATTGTATTTTTTGTAGCTCATTTTATCTTTATTCTTCATTGAAGTAACATGGCCTCTAAGTCCAGAAGAAGTAAATGAATAAATAATTGAATTAATTAATGTTGGATATATTGGGAAAACCATGTTTTCTTTTTTGTCTTACATTAACAGTCAGCACAGAGGTTAAGAAAGTAAGACTTAAAAGACAGACCTAGGTTCAAATTACAATTCTGTTGAAAAGTCAGGGTGAACCTTGGAAAGGTGACTTAAATCACCTAAATTCAGTTGTTTTTTTTTTAAATCACACTGTGGAGATGACAATGTATGGGATGTTGCAAAAGTTAAAAGAACAGCACATAAAGTATTTAACGTCATTTCTGACAAGCAGTAGGCTCTTAATACAGCTGAGCTTTCAGAGAATTACTGCTATGATGAACCATGTGTGGGGAAAGGGATTTTTGGAAGTGCCTGGGATGGAGGGCAGATATATTGGGTAGGTATGCCTAGGCACTGAGCTGGCTTGGTGGGGTTAATAATGGTGGTGGGTTGAATTTGGCTAACTATGAGAGACTGACATCAAAATAGTTCCTACTAAAGGCACAGATAATTTGTGTAAATTCTTCAAGATAGTAATGGAATTTCCATGTATAAATAGCCTGTGTTGTGCAAGAAATTCACTATTTTGGATCCAATAAAACCCTAGCTTTCTCACTGGCAACTGTCCGTGGCAGCTACTAGTTTCTTTTGGAAGAGCATCTGGTCAAGGAAAGCTCTCTCATGATTTCTGCATTTGCTGTGTTCTCTACAGCACAATTTTAAATTCTTTGTTAAATAAATTAAGAGCATAATCTAACTATACAGTGAGTATATAGATTCTTTCCACCACTATGTGGCTCACCTGAGATAATGCAATGATTGTGCCTAAGTCATTTATCGTGATTTTTTTTTGATATATATATATCCATAATGTGGGCCAAATTAAATTGTGTTTTCTAGATAATCAACCAAAGAAAGAAAATTGACTATACAGTATATGCTACTAAACATATATCTGAGTGTTAACTTATTGCTATCAAATAGGATAAACATCTTATTTTTTACAGTCAGCACCAGATTAACAGCACAATTTTATATGTATTCTTCATTGAGGTAACATGAGCTCCAGGTTAGAAGAAGCTTTTCTCAGAAGACATTTCTCTTACTACATACAGATTCTCTTGCCTGATCCAGGATCCACTCTCGCCATGAGCATTATAAAATTCCACTATTCTCACATGTGATGTGATAAAACAGGCCCTTCAAAACGTGCCAGGTGAATCCATTCTTTGGTCTCTTGCTCCAATTTAGCTTACGGATAAAGATAGAAGGAAAAGATGAAGTAAAACTATCAACTGTCTCTATTTGCAGATGACATACTATATATAGAAAAATCCTAAAGACACTGTAAAAAGACTATTAGAAGTCATTAATGAATTCAGTAAAGTTTGGAGAATACAAAATTAATATACAGAAATCTGTTGTGTTTCTATACACTAACACAAACTATCAGAAATTAAGAAAAACAATCTCATTTACAATTGCATCAAAAAGAACAGAATACTAAGGGATAAATCTAACTAAGGAGTTGTAAAACTATAACAGACTGATGAAAGAAACTGAAGACAACACAAACAAATGGAAAGATATACCATGCTTGTGGATTAGAAGAATAAATATTGTTTAAATTGTTTAAATGATCATGCTACCCAAGGCAATCTACAGATTCAATGATACCCCTATCAAAATACCAATGGTGTTTTTCATAGAAATAGAAGAAATAATTCTAAAATTTGTATAGAAAAATAAAACACCTCAAAGAGTCAAAACAACCTTGAGAAAGAAGAACAAAGCTGGAGGTACCATAATTTCTGATTTCAAACTGTACTACAAGGCAGCAGTAATCAAAGCAGCATGGTACTGGCACAATGAAACAGGCTAGAGAGTCTAGAAATGAACTCACACTTACATGGTCAATTAATCTCAGACAATGGAGGGAGGATTGTACAACAGGTAAAAGATTGCCTCTTTAATGAATGGTGTTGGGAAAATTAATCAGCAACATGCAAAAGAATCAAACTGGACTACTTTCTCACACCATATACAAAAATAAACTCAAAATAGATTAAAGACTTAAATGTAAGATCTGAAACTATAAAACTAGAAGAAAACATAGGCAGTAGACTCTCTGACATCAGTCTTAGCAATATCTTTTTGGGTATATCTCCTCAAGCAAAACTATGCAAATGGGAGTACACTAGATTAAAAAGTTTTTGCACAGCAAAGGAAACTATCAGCAAAAAAAAAAAAAGGCCACCCACTGAATGGGAGAAGGTATTTGCAAACGATATATCTAGTAAGGAGTTAATAT